TTCACTGCCTTTTGGGCAATTTGTTCCAGTCCATCAGTGTTCTCACAGTGATTTTTTTCCCTATATCCAATCAGACTTTCCCTTGCTGCAGTTTGTGAGCACTGCCTCTTGTCTTTTCACTGTGCATTTCTGAGAAGAGCCTGACTCATTTATCACTCTTCTGGTTTGGGTAGTGGAAGACAGCAGTTGGATTTCTCATGTAGTCTTCTCCAGGCTGAATAAAGCCATCTCCCTCAGCCTCTCTGCCACTGGACTTCCTCCAGATTATCAGTCTCTCCCTTCTTCTGGAATCCCATGTCCAGTTCCGGGCCCCAGAAAGCAGAGTGGCAGGGATTATCATTTCATTGCTGGCTCTACTGCTACGGTATAGCTCCATGTGTGCTCAGCCCTGTCCGCAAAATGATGCACTGCTGGATAACAGCTCAACTTGTTGAACTCCTGGGCCCACCTAGCCCGCTGGTTTGCAGCTGGTGCTGTTGGATGGAGTTAGTCTGTTAAACTTCATGACGTTCTTAGCCTGTTCTTCTGACTTTTTGAAGTCCCTCAGAATGGCAGAGCTGCCCTCTAGTTGCCGGTTACTGCCTGTTATTCCACCCCCATTCCTCCCTAGATAGACCTAGGATTAGAGTAGAGATGAGATGACCAGATCTCAAGTTGGCCAGGACAGTTTTGGAAAATAAGCCTTTGTGCCGTAGTCTTCTGAGACACTCTTGTTCTGGATTTTAGGGAAAATAGAACCTGTCCATTTCTGACCATTCTGTCCAATTCTGACCATTTATTTCTCCCTCATTCAAGCTGCAGCCTTGGAAACTTACCCATTCTCAGACCCATGGCAGGAGATGAACTCTGTTTTTGTTGGGTTATGTGATTTGGTACACAGGCATGTCCCTCACAGATGGCAACCTTCCCTCCCTGATCTAGACATAAAAATTGTCTGAGTGCTGCTAGCCAGTTAAGGCTTTCACTAGTTGTCTGCTTTCAGTTGTAAGATTCAGCTATTTCAGAAAGTGTATTATTGCCTTACTTGAAATTGGATTAGAAATAGGACACTTTTTTTTTTCCTTTTTCTGTCGTAATTGTGGAGAAATTTCTTGTCTGCCATAAACTCGAAGAGCTGTGCATTAGAACAGTTTTTATTTAATTGGGAGCCCTTCTCATTGCTGTGAGGATTCTTGAGACTTATAAACTGTTAGTTTAATTCAGTTTTTGTTTACAGTGGACCAGATAAAGAAATTCCTGATTGAGACTAAATCAACAGCAGCTCTACAGCTTTTTCTTTCTGAAGGTCAGAAATAGTTTGGGATGTTTTCTGTCCCTATGAAACACAGAATGTTTTCTTGATTTCACTTCTCTGTCTCTTTTTTTAAAAAAAATTCATTTATATTTTCAATGCCTGTGTTGCTTATTCCTCATTAGAAATTATAATCCTTTTTTTTTTTTTAGCAAAATACTAAATGTAGAGATAAGAAAGAGCTCATTATGAAGATGATATAAGTGGAGGGGAAAAAAAAGAAACATCCAAACAGAAATTGTACTGGTAGCCATTTTAATGACTGTTAAGTATTGCTTTTCTACAAGAAAAAGACAATTTAATGAAATACATTTGTACATACATGTGTGTTATTGTCTGTGTTCTTTTCTAATTTTATTTTACAGTGGCCCTAACAGAGGACATTATATTGCAATAGTGAAGAGTCATGATTTTTGGTTGCTTTTTGATGATGATATTGTTGAGGTAAGCTTTGTGTAACCCTGGATTTTTTTCTTATACCAACCAGAATGCATGCACCCCCCCGCTGTGTATATTACTACTTAAAGTAAAGGACTGGTATGCTAATGAAAAGAGAGTTCAACCCCAGTCTAAATGAGCAATAACTCTGAGTGCAGAGCTGCGCCTACAATGTGACTGTACAATACTTAGAATTGCATTTTGTTTTTTATACTTCTTCAAAGAAGCGGCTTTGTTTGTGGCCACTGTCTTTCACCTTTGTTTAATAAGCTATTCCTGTGGCCAGAAGACACGGCAAACAAAGATACAGATAAATTGGTTTTACTGCAATTCTTTTCTGAGGGCAATTTGTTGGAGCAAGCCATTTGTTCATATTTTCTAGGAGCTTATGATTTAATGGAATGGATCAGTCTGGTAGTCTGTTTTATCAAGTATCCTGGGTGGTTTCAGACAAAGGTGTAATGAGTATCAAAATAGGAAGAAAATTCCGATTTTTGAGATTTTGCCCTAAAATTTAAAAGTTAATCCCTGAAACAGGAGCCTTTTGCCTCTAGTGGTATTCTTGCTAATACTAGCCATGTTTCCATGAATTCTTATTGTTAAAAAAACCCAAAAACAACCAAACAAAAAGTTTCTAACTACTTTCTTGGAACAACAGAATTCCCTTCCCCAGTTTTGACTTCATGATCTTTCCCTTTCATCAGTTATCTTTTATTCTTTACTGAGAGAAAGAGCAGAAACTACTGGTGTCCCTATATTATATCATCTCAGGTTTTTTGCTTGTTCTGTCATCTTCCTTTTTTTCCCCTTGTCTATGCTTATGCATGACCAAAAGTATGATTGTGTTGTCCAAGTCCTTTTCCTCACTTTATTTAAATTAAATAAACCTATAAAATGAATAGTTTATGTTTTCCTTACAATACACAAGAACTGCATAATTGAAAATAAGAAAAATGAGTGATACAGGTATTGGATTTACATTGTTAATTGGCAGGATGAGTCAAGAGTATTGAAGAGTTCTTATCTCCAAGCCACATTCTGGATGGTTTTTCACACAGGAAATGACAAACATGGACATATACAGAGCTGTTAGGAAAGTAAAAGGATTGCCTCTGTGTCTTATCAAGATACACAGTAAATTGAAATGTCTCAATAGGGTCAAAAGTTCACTTTCCTCCAGGGAAAACAGAGCTGTAGTAGATCTCACATCATTTCACAAACATCAGGGACAATCTGTCCGGTTCCAAAGCAGTAGCACCTGGCAGAAATGTATTTTTTTTTTTTCTCATATCCCTTCTAAAGAGGAAGAAAAGAATCTTTTTATTCTTAAATCTAAAACATCTCAGTGAGTCTTAGGCCCGTGGTTCATCAAGTTGGAATGGCTCAATCCTTCCTGAGAGAGATTTTATTCCAAATAATGGAAATGAGATTAAATAGTCTGCCTAAGTGATGGAAAATTTATCTTTCCACCTTGTTGTTGTTGGTTGTAGTCAAATTGCATTTGATTTAAAATGTGGCAAGAGAGCTTGCTTTCAGTTTCAGTTTCTTTTGTAGCCAAAAATGATGACAATCAAAACCAGACAGTACTCTTTTCACCTTCTCAACAGAAGCTTTGCATCTTTCCCCCAAAATCTTAGTTATAGGAGGCTTTCTAACCTAACAGGATCACAAGCAAAGATTCTGTGTGAAAACCATCGAATAAGTTAGCCTTCATACTCTGCCTTCTCCTTATTCTCCTCTGCACTTCATTGGCTTGCACTGCTTAGAAATTTAGAAATGGTAGTTTGTACTTACATTCTTCATATTGATACAAAGTCTCACTGGGATATCGTTGTCTTTAAAACTTTTCTGTGTGAAATTTGCGCACACAACGCATGTAAGATTGCACTCATGGTAGGTTCACTTAATACTTAACAATGTACATATAAAATATGTACAGCCACTACCCTCTGTGCGGTTGATGGCAGAGGGGAAACTAAAACATAACAAGTTTAAGAATTATTTGAATTTTATTACTTTATGTAATTATGTGAAAGTTTTTTTTGTTTGACAGTAGTTTTTAGAGTGGAACTGAATGTCACATATGCAAGATATTCTTACTTTAAATTTTTGGGTTTTTACATGCAGAAAATCGATGCACAAGCTATTGAAGAATTCTACGGGTTGACATCAGACATCTCAAAGAACTCTGAGTCTGGTTACATCCTCTTCTATCAGTCTCGGGACTGAGGGGAAACTGTAGTGAAGAGAGATTTTTATGCCTCACATCTTCTCTATCTCGGAATGGAGCAAGCACTGAAAAAGAGGAAAGCAGGGAGCTCCAGGAGCAGTAGCACAGTTTGCACACAACTAAGCAAAGAGTTTGGGGTTCTTAAAACCTTTGTATCATTTTCATTTTATTTGCTCAGGTATCATGCTGACGACACATCTCCACTGCATCCCATAAGCAAAAAGAGAGATACCAGCCACTCTTGCAGGAGCTTTCCATTAGGTAATATTATCTCTGTGGTCCTAATTCAAAGCCCATTAAGGTCACTGGAGAACCTTTCATGGACTTCAGTGGAATTTGAATCAGGTTCTAACTGCACTGCCAGATTGGTGCAATAGGAGCATTAGAAATCTGTATTTTATGCAGACTTTGTGTATCAAAGGAAAAGGACTCTTTGTGAACTTAGTTTCCTGTGCTTAAGTTTAAAAGAATGAGGTTGGAAGGGTTAACGTGTAAGCAAGAAGATATATCGGGGCCCAACGCAATTGCCTTCTTGATGGTAGTAGTTTAACTGAAGATATAAACTGGTGTCAGGGAGGCAAGTATGTTTTGCTTCTCTGAAGAAGCTTACGTTATTTATAATGTATGATCGGGAACAATCAGTCAAGATTATGGCTTTTAATCCCCGTATGGGGAAAGATTTGGTTTGTAATAGTTTATTTTTATTTATAAATTATTGTAACTTAGGATCTTGTGTATTGTCCTTTATTCTAACAAGTATTGGAAATTTTATATATTAATTTGAATTAAAACTAATTATGTTTAAATGTTAAAGAAGAGCCAACATAAATTCTAAAAACAATGCCTACAATATCTGTAAAAAAGGAGTAACACAGAAGAGAGATTTCCTTCTGGAGGAACTGGTATCTAAGTGAGGTACTTTAATTAAATTAGAATATCCTCTTTGCATTAATGGATGAAAAAAAGTGATCGAACTATGACATAGAAGACTTTAAGAATGCATATTGTAAGAAAATGATGGTGCAGTGGTGGTATACTGGTCATTATAGTTCTTTAATAAATTGTTAATGGTTCATGCACTAAGCAAATTAGAATGATTTGGATCAAAGTAAACCATTTTAAGAATATTATTCCCTCTCCTAAAAATGGATCCACTTCTGTTCCCAGTGACATGGGAACATCTCAAAAACCACTCAAGGTCTCAAGTATGAATTACGTCTGAGTAATAAGAAGAAATAGGCTTGGAATTTCATGAGACTGAAGATACCACATTCCTTTAAAAGTAATAATACTCAAGTCCTGTAGATTGAAAATTTCTGAAACTAAGCAGTTTCCTTTGCTTTAGCTCTATGAAACAATAGCATTAGGAATTAAATCTTGACAAAACACCTGATCTGTAAGAAATGTGAACTACTGTGATTTGTCATTCTTCCACTTACCAGTACGTTGTCTGACAGTAGCTGAATGTAATTTCTGGAAAGTCATGGGATGTGCATTCCCAATTATGGCAATCAGGTCTTGGATGTCCTTGTCACTCCCTCTTCAGCTAGTGATTTTTACATTATTGTAATTTTCTAGGGTTATTTTATTGATACTGTTACAGCTTTTAAAAAGAATGTCTCCTGTCTGCTGCTATAACTGACTATTTACTTACCTGTATCTTTCAGCTCAGGAAATGACTTCACCTATTCACTCAGTTGAACAAATCTTTAACAGGGTCACTAAAGAAATTGGGCTACTTAGCAACTGTCATACTGTAACAAATTGCTTTTGTAAAATGCAGAGTTTCTACAGCTTTGGTTTGGCTAGAATTCTTTTATATAAAATTATGTATCATGATTAAACTACCAGCATTGTAAAGTAAAGCTTAAATATTGTGGGAGATGCAGAAAATATGATTGGATTTTTCGTAAAGGATTAAAATAATTTTAAAACCTTTTTTCAGCTTTCAGTGGGAAAAGGGTTAAGGAGTGAATCAGTTGGATAATGGTGCATGTTAGAAGGATGAAGTCCTTTGCATACTAAAGGTACAGTGTTGTAAAAGAACTGTCAGATTACTTTTTGCTAATTGGAAATGTTTTGTTTTGGTTGTTTTTTTTTTTTGTGTGTAGTTAAAAGCTGAGGCTAGTTGCTGAGTGTTTTATACCGTAACAAAATTTAAAACATTTTTGTTGTTTCACTAGTTTTATTCCTGCAATGTATTTTTATAAGATACTGACTTTTATTTTGTATAGGGTTTTTGACATAGTATTCCAAATTATATATTTCATTTTTCTTTTAGTGCAGCTGAAATAATTGTAAGTTCTTAATTAAACTGATAACAGAAACAGCAACTTAAAGAAAAGAAGCAGGGAAGTACAAAATATAACTGATTGGTATGTTAAAACATTATAGGATTTTTCTTGGCTGTAATACATTGGGGAGTGTGGGAGAGTTGTCAGTTGTTGTAAATGGTGGAAATTATTTGCTGTGTAACTATGTAAATGTTAATTGGGACTACAGTCCCCTATTTTGTATATTGGAGCAAAAAAACCTTCTATTAAATAAAGTATGTTCTCTAAAGGTAAGTACTGTATCCTTTGTGGAGCCCGAATGGTCAGTCAGCTGCCTTTTGTGCTTTTCAGTGTTTTCAAACCTAAAAAGTATCTGGAATTTCCTGTATTAAGTTAACTGCCCTGAGCCATGGAGGGGGAAGTGGGTTTAAATACGCTGCATTATATATCTTTCTAGATGTGTTGTTAGGAAAATAGTTTGGCGGAGCCATCGTTTTGGTGGTGTACTTCTCTAGAATTAGTTTTTAAGTGAGTTGTTGGTTTCTGAGGTAGAGGAGAAGGGAGTGTTTTGAAATATTGTTCTTTCTTGACTTCCATTTCCTCAAAAAAAATCTGTACCTTGCTATAAAATACACAGTTGAGTTACCTGAGGGATTTCTTGGATCTCCACCTTGTGGGAGGGAAAACAGGAGGAAAGAAAAATGGGAGTGTTTACAGCACTAACATAATAGAGAGACTGACCAAAGAACGGGAGCCCAGCATCAGAAGGAAAAGATGCGGCTGGTTATAATATCCATGTATGATTTGGTATCATGTCTGCTTGTAATGAATATATGTAATTACAGTTTTACAACAGTTCATACCCTGCCAGATTTGTAGCAGTGACAACAACATCCACAGCCTTTTGTTGCATGGAAATAGTGACTTTTAGGTGTTCAGGTACATTTATGAATGGTTAAATTGAATTGTGTTTCCATAAGTTTGTCATAAATCAGATTGCCTTTATTTAGGTGACATTAGATATGAGCACGTAGGGATTTGATGCCGCTTCAGATCTTCTGCTATATCCTTCGACATCTGCATAGGGCTGGCAGGTACAACACAAGATGCGCAGAGGATCTGCATCCTTCTGGAGCAGCAGGTTGAAGCCAGGCAGGACATCCTGGCTTGTGCCCCGTGTCTCTGTCTCAGTGTTTCCACAAGCATCATTGCATATGCACTATTTGGATCACATACAGATGAAAGTCTGTATTGCTTGGTTACTTTTTTGTGGTGATGTTTGTGAAGTTTAAAACCAGAAGTATCTGAGGCCTCTAGTTATTTTCGTAGTTCCCTTATTAAAATTAAAGGAACTCTACCTTGTGCTGTTTGGTCCGGTCTCTCAGCTGTAGGTGTAAGATGATCACCTATAGTCTTACTAGTCATCCTTGTAACTAAAAGAAATTTTGATATGTGAAATCTTCAGTCTTCGTTTACCAGAACTGACTTAGCTTTGTTTCCTCTTACCTTTTTCTACAGAAGTTTCCAATTGCCCTTACCAGAACAATCTTAACCGTGTACAGTTAATGTCGTAAACAGATCCTCATAACATTCCTCATAACTTTCTTCGTAACTGCTCATTCAAAATTAGTAGTTGTCCTTTAGCATACTATACCTCCACAACATGGATTATAAAAGAACAGGGATGAACTCTCTTACACACAAAGCTTTGTCTACTTTTACACGTGAAGGGGTGACATCTTTTTCTCTGTTACCTGCCGACTGTTCAATGGCAGAAATCAGCTTGGGCTGGAAGACTGAGAGTGGGAGCTTTTAGAAAGTGTTGAAAGCGAATCAACAACTAAGGATGCCAAAAAGGGTCAGGTGGTGGTTTGGGGGGTTTTGTTTGCTTGTTTTGGGTTTGGGATTTTTTTCATTGTTGGCTTAGTTGTTTTGTGGTTTGTTGGTTTTTTTTAAAGTTGCCTGAGAGCAGTTATTTGAAACTCTATTTATAGATTAAACCAGCATGCATCTCTTCAGTTACCCTTCTCTGTAAGAGGAGAAAACCTCATTTCAGTACATGTTAATAATCTGTGGCTGCAGTATTACATTGCAGATACTTTTGTGACTTTTTTCCAAAAGTTTAAATAATCTGGATAGGGTTTGTTTGCTTTTTGTTTTTGTGGCTTTACAGTGTAAAGTGTCCACTTTTCCTTTCACCCCACATTTATCTGGGTTGATCTTAAGTTTGTGTGTCTTAGAAATTTGGTCTTTGTTTTTGCTCTTGATAATGCAATATGCACATTTTATGGTTTCTGTCTTGTAAGGCTTCAGAGTCCTCTAACCTCTCACAGCATAACATGAGATATATAATACATTAGTCTCTTTACATGCAAGCCTCCAAGAACTCAGTTATTACTGAAATTAATATTCTACGTAATCTGTATTCAAAGGTTGTTCATTTTGCAGCAGCTTTGCTACTGATTGTTATAAATGAACTACAGAAGTCAACTACCGTGCAAACAAACACAGGCTTCATCTTTACAGAGATCCCTGGAATCTGTTGTTTCCAGTTTTAACCATAGAGTGTGGTGAGGCAGAAATAAACTTTCTTTGGTCTATATTCAAAAATGTCTACAAAATTGTCTGCCTCTTACCATTTTATTTTTTTTTAAAGTCAGTTAATTTTTAGGCTAAACCTAAGAAAACCTATTATGGTTGATAAATCCCTTCGGAGGAACTTGTGTGAGAATATGTTGGATATATGAGGAAGATTGTTTGCAGGCATCACCAGTTTTGAAATGAACTGAGTAATATCCTTCAGTTTCTTCCCCAAAATACAAACAAATTACATTCTCTCTTTCCCTCTAATGGCTTGTGATTGCTGCCTGCAGAAGAGATTGCAAGGGCACAGAAAAGGGCAAGGTACTTTCTGCGTAGCTCTTTGTATAGAACTGATGTTGACAGCATTAGGGAGCTTTAATTACAGAAGGATCATCAGTCATGTCCTTGAGCTGCATTCCGCAGGTTATGCAATCCAGGAGAGAAAACGCACAGCGGGATCTCTCGGAGAATATGGAGAAGTAACTTTACAGTTATTTACTAACATGCTAGATAGAAAAGCAGCATTTTCTAAAAGACAGAATGTTACATTTAATGCAAATTTCTGGTGTTTGGAGAATTTAGGGGGTGCTCAAAAATCCCGCCAGTCTAGGCTTTTTGTTGCTTATTAAAGAGTCCTGCATTTGTGTGTGTGTTTAATTTGCTCTTTAAGCCTATATTTAAAATTTCCATCTGTACACA